AGGGACCCAGAAAGGGAGGCACAGTTTATGAATCTTTGGGCCAGATATGGTGGCTCATGCCTGTAATCCCAGCATTTTTGGAGGTCGAGGCAGGTGGATCAGTTGAGGCCAGGAGATCAAGGCAGTCTGGCCAACATGGCCAAACACTGCAAAACCCCGTCTCTACTAAAAATGCCAAACTTAGCTGGGCGTGGTGGTGGGTGCCTGTAATCCTAGCTACTCAGGAGGCTGAGGCATGAGAATCACTTGAACCCGGGAGGTGGAGGGTGAAGAAGGGAGCTGGCGATTCTGGGCAGATGGCACAGCATGGGCAAAACCCAAGACACAGAGTTAACCTTTGGAGAGGGGTGGGCAGGGGGACAAAGAGTAGCCCTGGGCCTTTGGGGTAGGTCACCAATGAGGTGGCATGGGGGAGTAATAAGGGTCCATATGGGGGAGGCCAAAGGATCTTTTGGGAAGGACAGGGTCTTGCTCTGTCACCCAGGCTGGAGTGCAGTGGTGCAGTCATGACTCACTGCAGCCTCAACTTCCTGGCGGCTTAAGGTGATCGCTCGCTACCTCAGCCTCCTGAGTAGCTGGGACTTACTGAGGCGCATGGTCACCACACGCCAGCTTAGATTTTTAAAAAATATTTTTGGGCCAGGATATTGGTGGCGCCTCGGATGCCCTGTAATCCCAGCCATTTTGGAGGTCGGTGAGGGCAGGTGGATCAGTTTTGAGGCCAGGAGATCAAAGGCCAGTGCTGCGCCAACATGGCCAAACACTGCCAAAACGCCGTTCTCTACTAAAAGATGCCCAAGGAAGCTGTAGCTGGGGCGTGCTGGGTTCGTGGTGCCGTGGTTCATCCAGCTATCTCAGGAGGCTGGAGGCATGAGAATCACTTGAACCCGGGATGTGGCAGGTTGCACGGTGCTAAGATTGTGCCCCGCTCCACTTTCCGAGCCTGGGTGACAGAGCTTAAGGACTCTTTGTTTCTCAAAAAAAAAAAAAAAAAAAAATTTTTTTTTGTAGAGATGAAAGTCTCCCTATGTTGCCCAGGCTGGTCTCAAACTCCTAGGCCCAAGTGATCCTCCCGCCTCAGCCTCCCAAAGTGCTGGGATGACAGGTGTGAGCCACTGTGCCAGGCCTCATTATCATCGAATGGGGATGACTACGCGGTTCCTGGCCTGGGGCAAATTTCTCGCAGCCCTGAGGCAGGCTCAGCAGAAAGGGCCCAGAACAGCTGTAGGGGTCCGGGGAGGAGTTCCTCAGGCCACAGCTGCAATCCCACTACCCTATCTCCAGGACAGCCCGGGCCTCAGCTGGCCCCGTGTTCAAGGGCGTCTGTAAGCAGTTCTCACGCTCACAGGGCCATGGCTTCATCACCCCTGAGAACGGGTCCGAGGACATCTTCGTACATGTGTCTGAGTGAGTCCCCTCCACCTCCGTTCTTGGCCCCTGCCCTAGTGTCCCTAACGGTACCTCAAAAATCTCTCTCCAGACCTCTCCCCTCCCTGGCTGAGGTCTGTATTCATGGCACCTTTTCTGTCCTCTGAGTAGGGACTGAAGGTGTGTTGGGGGAGGAGGGCTGTGGCCAGGTGGGGAGTGGGCATGCAGACCCCAGAAGCCTGGGAGCCAGCAGCTGGGCCCTGGATCCCATTCCAGCATCATGGGGGTCTGAGAGGGCTAGGCCAGCTCCTGAGCCTCTTGGCCTGGAAAGGGCCTTCAGGTGGATGGGCCAGGAGGTAGAGATGGATGTCATGCCTAGGCCTGGCCCCACCCCCTCCTAATGCCTGGAGGACTGGGGCAAGGTCACTGAGCTTCTCAGCTTTAGGGATCTCCCTGTGCCCTTTCACATCTCAGTCCTCAAGGGACCCAGAAAGGGAGGCACAGTTTATGAATCCCGTTTTATTTATTTATTTATTTTTTGAGACGGAGTCTCGCTCTGTTGCCCAGGCTGGAGTGCAGTGGCACAATCTTGGCTCAGTGCAACCTCCACTTCCTGGGTTCAAGTGATTCTGCCCCTCAGCCTCCCAAGTAGCTGGAATTACAGGTGTCAGCCACCACGCCCAGCTAACTTTTTTATTTTTAGTAGAGACAGGGTTTCGCCATGTTGGCCAGGCTGGTGTCAAACTCCTGACTCAGGTGATCCGCTTGCCTCGGGCTCCCAAAGTGTTGGGATTACAGGCGTGAGCCACTGTGCCTGGCCATGAGTCCCATTTTACAGATTCGAGAGCTGAGGTTCTGAGAAGCAAGGCCTGGCCAGGCCTCCTGACCTAGGGAGGCCTAGGGCCAGGCTGCCCCCGAGGCCAGGCCACAGGACTGTCCAGGGCATAGGGCCTGCCACTGGGCTAACACCCCTCTTCCTGCCTGCCAGCATCGAGGGGGAGTACGTGCCAGTGGAGGGCGATGAGGTGACCTACAAGATGTGCCCTATCCCGCCCAAGAACCAGAAGTTCCAGGCCGTGGAGGTGGTGCTCACTCAGCTGGCCCCCCACACTCCCCACGAGACGTGGTCTGGCCAGGTCGTGGGCTCCTAGGCTGGGTGGCTCACAGCCCAGCTGGCCGGGGGGGTGGGGAGCCACACAGGGTGAATGCGCAGCAGCCAGCTCCACGCCCCAGTGCCCTGGCTGATCAGTCCTTCGGTGGCCTCAGTGTGCACGTCTGTCTGTCTGTCCGTCTGTGCTTGTGGCTGTGAGCGTGTGCCTCCACCCACCCCATGACCCGTGACTACTATGTGAGCCGGAAAGGAGGTGGGTGGAGGGCGAGGCCACCAGACCTGGCTTCTCGCTGTCCACTGCCTTTCTCCTCCCCTCCCTGCCGCAGACACGCAGGACCCGCTCGCCCTCCTACCCACCCATCCCCATGGTGACTGAGCCTCGAGAGCCTGTGCTGGGCTCACTCCCTGGCCTCCGCCCCTGAGCTGTCCCATGTCAGTCCACAGTTCTCTGTGCTACTTACATCTCCCTCCCTTGGCTGAGGTCCCCCGCCACCATCTAGACCCTTCCCTCAGAAGCCTGGCCGGTGGGTGCTTTTGGGGAGCCTCCCAGCCACTGGCAGGGGAGGAGGACAAATACAGAGGCACACAGGCCCCTCACTGCTGAGGCCAGCCTTCCTTCCTGCTCTGCTCTCAGTGCACTAGAGAGGCAGGAAGAGGGGCCTGAGGGCGGAAGGGGTTCGGGGCTCCCATTTCGCCGGCCAGTCCCTCCTCCTCAGCCTGGCAGTAGCTCTGGGCTCCTTTTCCTGGGCTGTACTGAGCCAAGCCCAGGGGTTTGCAGAGGGTGGGGGTCCATCTCTCCAGCTTGGCTGCAGCCCTCCTTTACCCTGACTCACAAGCACTACTGATGCTCTGCGCCACGCCCGGCTGACAGCTGCTGAGGACGCCGCGATGGACGGACACACGTCCATCAGGCAGGGCCGGGCTGGGGCACCCACAAGGAGGGCCCTCAGCCTGGGAGACTGGCCCTGCGGCCCCCGCGTCCAACCCTCTTCCCAAAGCCCTGACAGACCAGCGGCTGAGGTGTGGCTCTTGCTTTTACCGTGTCCATCCCTGAAGATGTGTGACTGTCGCTGTCACCTGGAGTCCTTTTGGGGCCAAGATGTGTATGCACTTGGGGTTGTGGCCATTCACTCCCATACAGGGGTGAGGGTGGCCTGGCCCGGGAGGCCAGGAAGGAGGGCCCTGTCTGCCTCCACCTCTGGGCGCACCCCCTGCCTACCACCCTCCCTTCTAGACAGCACATCGCCTGACTGGGCAGAAGTGGGGCCATGGTTCAAGGGAGGGCCGGCCAGGGGTGGGACCCTTATGAGACCCAGTATGTGAGTAAAACGGGGGGCTCAAATGCCCAGGATGAGGGGATCAGTGACTGTCTAGGAGGATCCCTGGCCTTGTAGGTGCCCCAAGACCCCAGGGTAGAGATCAGCCGGGATGCCTGCATCCCAACCCTGCCCCCAGGGCCTATCGCATAAAATCTGGGAGCCCAGAGCTGCTGAGGTATGCTGGTCAGCTCCCCTAAAATGGGCACGGCCCAGCCTGTCCCATGAGGAACAAAGGCCCCTGGCCCCTTGAGAGAGGGCTTGTTAGTGAGGGAGGACTCCTGGGGGCCCCCAAGGCTCCCCTCCTGTAGGGAGGCCACCTTTTAAGGTACCACTATCAGTCAGGATGTGGTGGCATCAGCCCTGGGGCCGCCTGGGTGGCAGGGGGGCAGCAGCTCTCCTCCCCACTCACAGGCCTTGCAGTGCCCATTTGGAATTCCTCCCAAGACCCCTGGCCACCCAAACCCCCCATTCTTCCTAACACTGGCAATAAACCCTCAACTGTGACCCACCGTGCCCTAAAGCTGCCTCTGTGTCAGGGTCCCCAAGGAAGGGGCTGGGGGTGGACACACCAAACCAGCTCTTCTCTGGGGCTTCAATGGCCCCCCCCTCGACTGGATCAGGGACTTCCTTTGTGACCTGGGCCAAGTCCCTGCCCTCTCTGTGCTGTTTACTCATCGGCAAAGTAGTGGCTGTGACGGCATGTGACTAGGGCCAATTATCCATTTAGACGCAACTGACACCTACTTTGTTTTGGGAAATTTAATACTGTGACAAAGTTCTCTAAAATAGGCGCCTGCGCCACCATACCCCACCGTCCAGGGAATAGGCACCTGCGCCACCATACCCCACCGTCCAGGAACAGGCGCCTACGTCACCATACCCCACCGTCCAGGGAATAGGCGCCTGCGCCACCATACCCCACTGTCCAGGGAACAGGCGCCTACGTCACCGCACCCCACCATCTGGGGAATAGGCGCCTGCGCCACCACACCCCACCATCCAGGGAATAGGCACCTACGTCACCACACCCCACTGTCCAGGGAATAGGCACCTACGCCACCATACCCCACTGTCCAGGACAGGCAGGCAGGGCAGGCTAGATCTCGTACCGACACTTGTGCACGCCTCCTCCTGGCACAGAAACCTGTTCTGTACCGAAATACAAGCAGCAGCTGTGGCCTCGGCCACCAGGTGGAGCATGGGGAACACTCTGGGCTCTGCGAGGACGGAGCCAGTGCCACTAGGAGCTGACTGGCTAGGGCCGGTTGTCCACACAGACTCTGGCCCCATTCGGGTGGGCCTTGCAGCAGGCGTCCTGGGCCAGAGGAGGGGCCCTGGCATCTATCCAACACCAGGACCTCTCTTTAGGCCTAGGCCAAACGCTTCAGAAGTCACAACGCACAGATGTGGGCCCCGGTCACGCCTCATGGGCTGTCTCTGGGAAGAAAATCTCCCGGCATCGCTGCACTGTGTCCTGAGGAGACACCACACTGTGGCCAACAGTCCGGGGGTCAGCAAAGATCTCAAAGTCGTTCCCACCCTGCACACAGAGGACGGGCAGAGGAGGCATATTTAGGCGGAGTCCCTCTCCACGTTGGCTGCTAAGGACCTGCCCCTCCTCCTGCCCCTTCAGAACTGGCAGGAAGCCCACCTTCTCACTCCTGTCAGACCCGCCCTGACTTGCTGTGTGATGTAGAACAAGTGCCCAGCCCTCTCGGGGCCCCAGCCTTCTGATCTGTGTAACGGGGCTGGTAAGCAATGGCTGTTCTCCAGGAGCCCCCGCAAGAGGTCTGCTGTGTTGCCCCGTGTTCTGGCCTTGACCTGGGCGATTTGTGTTGGAGAAGCCACCAGACCTGGCTTCTGGCTGTCCACTGTGTTGGGGGAAACCTGGGGTGGGCCACACTCACAGGGCTGGTCTCGTTCCCAAAGAAGTGGATGGTGTCGAAGCTGTCCTGGTCCAGGCTATCCAGGCAGTAGCGCTTGTCCCAGCCCTCGGGGAAGACGTCAAAGCTGATCATGCCTCCTGTGGGCAGGGGTGGGGACTGTTATTCCCTGCTGGGAGGGGCAGACAAGGCTAACAGAAGGGCTGCTTGTTCATTCATTCATTCAACAATCCTTGGGGATTGGGACACGGGGCAGGAACAGGACACGGGACAGACTTAGGATCCTCAAGGAAGTTATGACACAGGTTGGAGAACAAACAAGACTACAAGACTACAAAGTGGGTGGGGGAAGCTCATCCAGCCAGGGTGGTCAGGGGAGACCTCTGACGAGGTGGCAATGAGCTGGGACCTGAGGCACAGAACAAAGCACAGCCCCTGAGGCAGGGAAGAAGATGAGTGTCCCAGCAAGGGAGGAGGCTGGGAGAGGCAGGGCGAGGACGGGCAGGCCCTGGGCATCACGTGGAGAGGGAGGAAGAGCCTAGGGAGGGCTTTGGGCAGAGGCACACCATGACTCCAGCTCCAGCCTCTCCGGCCACTGGGGAACGGGTGAGGTGGCAGAGAGGAGCCCGGCTGCGTCAGGTCAGTTGGAGGCTGGGATAAGCTGCTGGCAGTGGAGGTGTGAGCACCAGTGGGATTCCAGATGCAGGGCCCTGGGACTTCTAGGAGTTTGGACTTGGGAAGGGGCGGGGGAGAGCATTCAAGGGAGAGGCTCCGGTTTTTGGCCTGAGAAACTGGATGGGCATAGGGCATTTACCATTGAGGTGTGAGGTGGGGAAAACCGGGGGCCAGTAAACGCTGAGCCCCTTTCTGCATCAGGCTCAGCCACCCCCTCTGCCCTGAGTGGGGGAGGGGCTCCTAAAGCTACTGGGGGCCACAGCCTGGTCTTGCAAGGGGCGGAAGGTTTGAGGAGGGGCCCTGTACCAGGCCTCCCAAGCCCTCTGCAGGGTGGACGTACCTCGGGAGAACCTCAGCCCTTTGCCAGCAAACTCTGTTTTCAGGGCTTCCACGAACTTCTCCCGGATCTTCTCTTTCTGCAGAGGGAAGGGGGCGGATGGCAGCTCAGAGAACCTGCTGTGTGCCAGGCCCCGGCTGGGCACACAGTCCACGTGAGCGTGCTGAGCCTTCTAGGTGGGCTGAGAGTGTCCTAAGCTGTGAAGAAATCTTTCCACATGGCCGAGGCTGGCTGCACCTCCCGTCTCTGGAGAACAAGGCTGGTCACTGGACAGCCCCACGTGCAAGGCCAGCCTCGGCAGGGACTGGCACTGTGACCTCGAGCTGGTTACTCACTCTCTGGCCTCAGTGTCCTCATCTAAGGAAGGGAAGTACTCATCCCCACTTCAGCGTTCTGGAAGACAAGCTGGGTCAAGCATTTACACCAGCTCTGGGCCGGGGCACGGCACATGGATCAGGAAGGTTCATGCCCCTCCAGTGCCAGAAGGGGGCAAACAAGAGCCAAAACTACTTGAGAAGGTGGGGAGTTAGTGTGTGGCTCCCCAACCCCATGCCAGGCATGGTCCATGCACCACCTCATCCAGTCCTCATGACAGGCCATGGGATGGGAACTGTTATTACCCCCACCTTACACATAAGCAAACTGAGGCACACGGTAATAAAGCTGTTTTTCCAGGTTACGAGGCAAATGGGTAGAGCTGGGACTGGGAACCTGGGTGGACAGGAAGGGATCACCTCTCAGCACGTGTGTGTGGGAGAGTGGTTGTTTGCCAATGACCAGTTGTAACTACTCCAACAAAAAAAGTCCCCGTGGCTGGGCGCAGAGGCTCACGCCTGTAATCCCAGCACTTTGGGAGCCCAAGGTGGGCAGATCACTTGAGGCCAGAGTTTGAGACCAGCCTGAACATGGCAAAACCCTGTCCTTACTAAAAAACACAAAAATTAGGCCAGTGTGGTGGCTCACGCCTGTAGTCCCAGCTACTCGGGAGGCTGAGGCAGAAGAATTGCTTGAACCCAGGAGGTGGAGGTTGCAGTGAGCCGAGATTGTCCCACAGCACTGGGTGACAGAGCGAGACTCCATCTCCAAAAAAACAACAAAAAAGGGGTATTTCTTTGCGAGGTGCAGTGGTTCACACCTATAATCCTGGTGCTTTGGGAGGCTGAGGCAGAAGGCCCACTTGAGACTAGGAGTTCAAAACTGGCCTGGGAGACACAATGAGATCCCATCCCTACAAAAAATTTTAAATTTTAAAAATTAGCTTGGCATGGAGGAATGCACCTGTGGTCCCAGCTACTCAGGAGGCTGAGGTGTGAGGATCGCTTGAGCCTGAGAGATCGAGGCTGCAGTGAGCTAGGACTGGATCACTGCACTGCACTCCAGGCTGGGCAACAGAGTTAAGACCCTATCTCAAAAACAACAATAACGACAAAAAGTATGCCGTGTGCCGGGCATAGGAGATCCAGAGGAGAACAAGCCGCAGAAATCCCTGCCCTGATGGAGCTTACAGTTCTGGGACAGGGACAGACAGTAATTCGGGTTTTGAAAGTAGATGGTGGAAGTTGTCCAAGGCTGCTTGGGGAGAAATAAGGTAGGGGAAGGAGCAGGAAGTGCAGCAGTGAATGTGATACTCTGGGAGGCCCCACTGGGAAAAGGACAGGAAAGGTGATTTGAAGGAGAGGAGGGACGAGCTGGGCCTGAGAGAAGTGTGCTCTGGCAGAGGCACAGCACTCTAGAATCAGCCAAGAGGCCATAGCTGGAGCAGAGGGCAGGGAGAGCCACCGAACAGGTCAGAGAATGATGGAACGACGTGGACGGGCCAGCATGGAAAGGTTTGGATGGGTGGATCACTCCATCGCCGAGAGGGAGGGAGGCGGTGGGGAGAAAAGCAAAATGCACATCAACGTTCAGCAGGGGCAGCACAGGCAGAGGTGAGAGGACCTTGGTATGTTCCAGGAATAGAAAGTGGAACTTGAAGGGCACAGAGAGGAGACGCAGAGAGCCGGAGCCAGGCAGAGCCCTCAGGGCTTGGGGCACCATAGCAGGGGGCTAGAACATCATCCAGCTGGCAACGAGGAGGCAAGGAAGGATTGTAAGTGAGGGGGCAGGGCTGGGGGGTGAATGCGGCTGACGCATTTGAAAGGTTCTAATGGGCCGGGCGAGGTTGCTCATGCCTGTAATCTCAGCACTTTCGGAGGCCCAGGCAGGTGGATCACCTTAGGTCAGGAGTTCAAGACCAGCCTGGCCAACGTGGTAAAACCCTGTCTCTACTAAAAAAGTACAAAACTTAGCTAGGTGTGGTGGTGCACACCTGTAATCCCAGCTACTTGGGAGGCTGAGGCAGGAGAATCGCTCGAACACTGGAGGTGGGAGTTGCAGTGAGCTGCGATCATGCCACTATACTCTAGCCTGGGTGACAGAAGGAGACTCTTATCTCCCTCCCCCCGCCAAAAAAAAGAAAGAAAGGTTCTCAGTGGCATTGCCGGAGAGCAGGCTGGCAGGGTTATGCAGTGGGTCGGGAGGGACAGAGAGGAAAGTTGGGGCAACCTGGGGCGGGGGAAAGCGGTAATCTAGAGTGGGGTCTCAGTTCTGCAGATGAACAGATCTGACACTGACT